AAAAGAAAAAGAAAAAGAAAAAGAAAAAGAAAAAGAAAAAGAAAAAGAAAAGAAAAAAACACACAAAAAATACATATTAAATATGTGCATATGAGTTAAGAAAAAATTACTTGGAAACCCATTTTCCCTATAGTTAAACATGAATGGCTTTTGACTATGCAAAATAGTCACAGAAAATGAGTCTTCTCAGAATAATATATGCTTTTTATTTACCAGAGGCCAAAGTGTACATAAAAAGTCAAAAGGTTTAGAATCTGTCCCGCCCCTACCCTGCCCAAGCTGATGAACACCACAGGGTTAAATGTAGAGAGTGGGACCTGCATGTCTTAGGGTACATTCATGTTCAGAATCACAGGCAAGTCGTGAAGGGAGCCATGAGAACAGTGGGCTGAAGCAAGAGACCCTCTCCTTCCTATGCCCCCAGCTGAGAGTATCATATACTTGGTCCATTTTGACAGTATTGGGGACTTTAAGGACATCTTATGACACAGGTGCTATCTTAGGTACAAAACAAATTGATGCTTTTCAACTTCTACATGTCCAAAATAATTTGAAAATAAAAAGTCAATAAAGAAAAAGATAGAGGTACTCTCAGTACAAAAAACTAGCCCAAGGTCTGAAATGTGTATTAATTTCATGAGGCAATTATAAAAAAAGCAGAAATAAACCCGTTTTCTCAACTGCCAAGACTCTGTCCCCACTCCTCTCAAGGGATGCAGGATACCAGTGCACATCAGGAAAGATGCTCACAGTCACTCAGCCTAGGCAGTTACCTGAGGCTATCGAAGCCTTTGTTATTCCTGCGTCACAGAGTGGTAAATGCTTGTCAACTGTGAGACACTACACATACATTAATTGTTGTTTCTTAAAACTTTATTTGACCTATTTGACCTCTTCCTCATTAGAGAGAAAACTTTTCTAAGAAAGGGTAACTATTCAAGGCTCTTCAAGTTTGTGAAATCATCAAGTTCACTTTATACAGAGGGGTCAAGATTCAGCCAATAGATTCACACAATAAGTTGTTACAAACTGTCTTCATGGCAGATGCCTGCTACAACCTCAAAATGTTTTGATCTGACTTTTTCTATAAAGTACATTAGACTAATTAGCCTTGTTATCTTGCAAATAATTTTATTAATTCTGAAGTCCGGGTTTGAGTTGAAATAACATAATGAAGTTTGATGGTATATTCACTCACAGCCTGAAGAATGAAAAAGGACCACACAGCAATGAGAAATACAATGTGTCTTCTGGATGAAATACATTTTCTTTGTTGACATTAGAAATGAAATAATAGCTCTTGAAGAAAAAGGACGACAATTAAAGTCAGGAGTTTCAGGAAATCCTAAAGATGAACAGTGAGAACCCAAAGCAAATTTTACGGTCTGTCAAAGAAGATATAGCCTCTCTGGAACTGGAAAGGCTTATATACTCATAAATGATATAATCAGAAATTATTACTCTATAAGTTTTAGGCTTGGGTATCCACTGTCATCTAACCGTCTCCCATTAAGTACAACCTTAACAAGAAAAACATTACCTTACTTTCTGGGTTAAGGGGTAGGACATAACCTAAAAGCTAATGGGAAGACAGATCACAAGAGTGACCCTTTCAAATCAAGGCTTTCTTTATCCACTAAAACTTCAAGGTGGCCCATTAACAAGGTATTAATTTTGCTCCCTGGAGAATGTATTTGTTAAATGAAAGCAGGAGAGATTAAATATCGCATCAAGACAACAACAACAAAACCCCTTTTATAAGAAGTTTATAAATTATTCCATAGCTTTTTAAGGTAGAAAGAAAAGCAAGCCTTCCTGTACTTCCCTCCATCATGCAAGGGTCTACTCACTTCCGGTTGGTGTGGTCCAGGCCACTGTTTGGTATTGCTTCCAGCTTCGCATTTCTCTGCCCACAGATATTTCCATAGCTGTCGTATCCTGACACTAGTCTGGCGGCTGCACCTGTTGCTACTGAAAAGCCACAAATAAATCCCTAGGAAAGAAACAGAAAAAACACACACAAATAAACCATTTCAATAGCAACAGTCGCTACTTGATATGATAATGAGCTTCTTTTGTCTGCTGAAGGGAACAAAGAGCTATATTTCCTTATAGCAAACACTATTACACTGTTTTCCTTGGTCTGCATGGGACGAACATGAAGAAGTCCACAGGGGAATACCATTTGCTTCTGGAACAAAACAAATCCCAGCCTTCCATCTCTTAGGATCGCCTTTGCATTTTGTGACATTCATGGCAGTCTCCACACTGAACACCTGCTCTGAGCCAGGCTGCATGCAGGGTATTTATCAAACATTCTCCAATTCTCCTGAGGTGGAAACCAAGGCCTGGAGAGGTTACATACGCTATCTAAAGCCACAAAAGCTAGTGAAGACCAGTATGTAGAATCAAAGTCAGCTGTCCCCATTCGCTAGTTTTCCTTGGTCATAAAGGAGTTCTGTTAAATGAACAACAAAGGATACAGAGGGGGTTAAAATCCAGAGAGCAACAGGCTGTGAGGGCTGAATCATGACTTCACATAACCTTCCTGCAACAAAGCTGTATAAGGGCCAAGAGTTACATCATGAAGCTCATTCTTGATAAAGAGAGTGTAGGGAGAGTGAGCCACTGGCTTCATGGACTATAAAGGTCACTTATCTCATGGGAATATGCTTCTTCTTGGTCCCAAAGGCAAATGGTAGACACTGGGGACCACATCATGCTTGCCGGGTCAGACACGAGCTGATCACAACCAAGCAATGGAAGCCAACACCCCGCCACAGCGTGCCAGGCACAAGAACAGCAAGTAACAGCGATGGCTGAAACACTGGCTGCTCTGGACACAGGGAGAGGGGGTGCCCTGGCCATCGGGAGGACTCATTTCTGCTACCCTTAATCAGGTTATGGAGGCAGAGACAGTCACCAGCAATTCTTTTCCCAATGGTGCTGCTGGATCTCAGGCTGCAGAGGCGCATGCTCCAGTCTCAAGCAATTCCTCGGAGAAAAGCATTCTCCCCACTATGCATACTTACCCAAAAAGCCTACAGATCTATAAACTCTCTTTTCCAGACAGCTCTTCTGACTTTGTACAGAGAATGAGATGAAAGCACAGCTCTATCAGCTGGAGATTCTAAAAGCATACTCTGTGAGAAAGTGGACTGAGGAGGGCAACTGCCCAATTTTCTAGTCTAGGACTCAATCGACTTTCTTTCTCAGTTTACTCACCTGACAAATGGGCATAAAGAGTATGTAGCTCCTCAAGCTGGGGTAGGGATTAAACAGCATGGTAGTGAGAGCTTAATAAATAACTCCTATGCTGATATTAGGAGCCAGGGCATGTATAAGGGAAAGACTGTGGGCTTTGGAGTTACATAAGCATGCATTATCAATGGGACACTGATGGCATCATTTTCTATGTGTATGACTTTGGTCAAACTTACTCAATCCTCCAAGCCTCAGTTTATCCATCTACTAAGTGGGATTAAAATCATTTAACCCAAAGCGGTCATAAGACATCCTAGAGACAATACATGTGAAGTGTGTGTCGTGGTAAATGCCAGCATCTCATTCCCTTGAATCAATAGTTGAGTGGCCAGCACTGATGCTAGGCGTGGCTCCAGCATGGCTCGCCAGCGTGGCTCATCCGCTATCTCTCACTTTCACTCCCCTGGTGCCCTGCTCCCTCTCCCCTCCTCTTAACACTGGAGCATGCTGAGTCTCACCCCTGGACTTGACCAATACTAAGACATGAAAAAAAGGAAAACTACCCTTGCATACACATACACATATTCAAATGAGCACACCCTCTTAATCCTATGCCTAAATCCAAATTAGGATGCCATGTGCTGGGCAAGATCCTGAAGTAATGGTAAATACAGAGGCTACAATGGAGAATTTTTCCATCATTTAGTTCCAAAAGGTCTCCCAAAAATCCGTGTGCAAAGTCCCCAACCTATGAGCCTATGACGTGACTGGGTGGGGATGGCTCTGTAACGAACAAGCCTGTCATGTCTTCAGGTCACACAGTGCCTCTGCGGGACTGTGAGGCCGTGGCTGCTGCTTCATAGCCTCTCACTGTCAGGGCATGAGGTGACTCTGCTCTAGTCCATGTTCCTACCACAAGGGGCCAACCACTGGCTCCAAAGCAGCAGGGTAACCAACCATGGACTGAACCCTCTAAAACTTTAAATTAAAATAAACCTTTTCACTTCATAAGGCGCTGTCTCAAGTACTTGCTATAGTAACGGGAGGATGCCAAGAAAGACCAGGGGCTAACAAAGGGAATACGTGCGCAGTGGATGGACTCCCCCTAACACTACTACCCGGGTGCCTTTGATCCAATCACCAACTTCCATTCTGCTCTCCTCATCTCTAACACCAAGCAGCCCATCCCTCAGTGTGATGGCGAGAACTAAACCCGACAACACAGATCCAATCTCTGGCTAAGTGTCTGCTACCTGGCAGGTGATCGATACACGGGAGCCGTTAGGAGTAAATCTGAATGATGAAGTCAGCTCACAGAGGCTGAGATCGGTACCAAGAAGTGAGAACCCCCCCCCCTTTGTTCCCTACGTCAGAACAAAGCTCTATGAGGTGGGGGTAATGAGTAATAACGCTGGTAATTCTGTCATCACACAAAAGCACTTTCGGATCACAACTAAATTTCTTTACCAGTCCGGAGCAGCAAAGTGGTTAGTTAGAAGGTTATGTTCTTCTTTCACTATTTATAGGAGTTTTGTTTTTTCAATATTTTATAGAAATGTTGTTAGGATTCCTTTAAAGGATTTCTGATTTCTCTTCCTGGTTGTTTTTTAACAGTACTGTTCAACACGATGGGTTCCTCCTCTTCACCATAAGCCACCTCAGGGATGTGACAGGGCATAAATTATATGAGAAATATGTGTGTGTAATTATGTACCATATGCCAAAATGAGACAATGTCATATTTTCACATTGGTCATTTAAAGTTCCTAGAAGCTTCTAGAAGTACTAGAGCAGAGACTATGAGAAGTTGCAAGGGTGAGATGGGGTAAGGGTGGGTAACAGGTCACTAAGGGGTAAGAAACAATGACTATTATCCTAGGGACTTCCCGCTTGATACGAGCAAGATGATGCAGAACAAGGCCCAATCTAATTAAAATTCCAATCTCTGTAAGAAAAGAAAAACACTAAAATCTGGCAACAATATCATTTCAGAAGAGGGAAAAAAATACAGTACACGAAATTAAAACAGGGTGGGAGAGACTTTCCAGAACACATCCAGTACTTCAATGGCTTTCCAGAAAGACGAGGGAAAAGGCAGAAAGAAATCACACCACAGGAGAGCCTTTGTCGGTGCTGAGTGAGACACAGTCACTATTACTAAGTAAGGGAAGCTGATTGACTGAGCTACTGAAGGGTTTTGGGGACTACTGTGCGGAGAGTCACAGCCAGACCACTCACAAAACTCAGTGACTAAAAGCAGATACAGGGACAGGGGGTCACAGAGAAGACCTGGCTACTGATTATCCACCTCTGAAATGAGAGAACAAGTAGCAAACGAGAAAACTATGCTGCTCGCTCCTGTTCTAAGGGCTAGCGTTACCTAAATAAGAATTTCTGTTTAGACTTGTGCACCACCAGGCTACGCGTTCCTGTCATGTGCATGTTTGATTTTCACACCTAAGTTCTAACTAGGCAGCTGAGCAGAGCAGATGGTCTTCACCAGGTGTGGGGGTGGGGGCTCAACAAAACCTGAGGCGAGTAGGAGGAGGACGGGAATATGCCAGAAATGTGGCAAAAATAGTAGGCAGGGGAAATGAGTGACAGGCTAGCCGTGTCCCAGCGGTTCACGGCAACATACCCTCCCCAGCTCTTTCTCAAACGCCATCACATCGTAAGTGGCAATCAGTGCTAGAGTCCATCTCCCCAGTAACACACATTTAAAGCAGCGGGAAGGCACTTAGGTCTGGAGGTCCTCTCCCGAGAATCCTGGATGAGAAAGGATGCTGGGATCTAGCAGATAAGTCGGAATAGAAGGCCTGGCAGAAAGGTAGGCTTATGCAAACCAAATCTATGGCTTCCTTTAAAGGATGCATTGCTCTAAAAGGAAGAGAAAAATGTTTGACAAGTCTAAGAAACTAGAATCTAGAAATGCACTGTCATGCCAGAGATGATGGTAACATACCTATGAACCGAGCAGAAGGAGGAGGATTGTAAGCTCCAGGCCAATAGGAACCAGGCACACCAGCACACGCCTGGAAATCCAGCACTCAGGAAGCTAGCGCTGGAAGACTATGATTTGAAGCCCAGTCTGCCAGCAGGATTTTGTACGCCCTGGTCCCCACCCCCCAAAAAATTAAGTTCAAGCATGAATGGTAACAACTCACCTTGGAAAGCACCTTAAGTTCTTGACAACTCAGGCACTAAAAACCTTGTTATTAGAGAGTAAGAAATAAATAATGGCAAGGAGATGGGCATGCACAAATAAAAAGATTTAATAACGTAGGTGGGTGAAAGACAACAGGATTTCAATACATCTAACAAGAGCCTACGTATCAAGGTTAAGACACCAGGCTACAAGCTAGCTGGGAATGGTCTATGAAAGGAGCAAGCAGGGTGCATCACTGAAGGAACAGAGAAAGCTCTTATCTTTGTCACCCACTACATAAGCTAATACTGACCATCACTACACCTTGCTGACACACTGGTGTAGACTCTGTCTCACTGGATAACTCAAAGTTACAAGAGCTACTTAAAGGAAAAGTGTGAACATAGATTAATAATGTTCAACGATGTTTGTTTTAAAATTCCAGATGGAACTGGAGAAATGGCCTTGGCAGTTAAAAGCATTCATTGCTCTTGCAGAGGACCCAGGTTCAATTCTCGGCACCCATACAGCGGCTCACAACCATCCATAACTTCAGTTCCAGACCTGACACCCTCTTCTGACTTCTACAGCCACCAGGTACACGTGTGGCACACAAATACATATGCAAGCAAAACACTGATACAAACAAAATAAAATAATAATTATTTTAAAGCTAATGAAGAAAAACATTGTTAAAGTTTTTGAAGAATAAAAATGAATCCAGATGAAACATTCCTAACCTGAAAATCCGAAGTCTAAAATGCTTCAGGAACTGAACTTTCTAAGGATGAGCATAAAGCCATGTGTGGAAAATTCCATGAATAACCTCCTGTGATGAGCCGAAGCCAAAACTATATAAAATTATCTGCAGAGTATGGATATAAGATACATGAAACATGAAGAAATTCTGTTTAGACTTGGGTTCTATCCCCAAGATACTTCATCATTATATATATTCACAAACAATCAAATTTTACATTTTTATATGTATGTATACACATGCTCAGGGAGGTCACAGGACAATTGAAGAAAATCGGTTCTCTCCTTCTACCATGTGAGTCCTGCAGCTCAAACTCCGTCATCAGGTTGGGCACAAGGCTCCTTTGTTCAGTGAGCCATCTAAACACTTTTAAAATTTTGGAATGGGAAACACTTTGAACCCTAAGCATCTGGGATATGATTTACTACAGAATGAAATTCAAAGGGGGTGAATGAAAAAAAAACATATAAACCAAAACCCAGAAACCAGAATCAAACACTATGAACCTCAGCTGTGCATGCAAGATGGGCAGCAGAACTTTTAGATTACTTCCGTCTCCTCGTGGCGAGATTTGACATCAGCTCAGTTCCATGGGAAAGCAACTATTTAAAGATTCACTCCAAAACAAAGAAAGCTGTGCTGTATTTAAAAGCACACACAGTGGGTCTTAATTACCAGCACGATGAAATCGACATTATATTAATTACCACTGCATTAAAAAATTGCAGTAAACAGTGCCTTATGCTCAAGGCACTCCCCTGTCAGTCTATCAGCATTAATGATTGCATTTTCCAGGGCTATTCGAGCACCTTGGGTGGCAGGGCACATGTTTTTCAAGCATAATTCTGAAGGTCAGTTGCTATTTGCTCTGTGGTTACAATGGGTGTGGAAAAGCTGTGGACCGACTTTATTAGGCAATCTTTCTGTGCTCTTTGTGAATATTCATGCATGCTGAACTTCTGCTGTGAGTCCTCTAACCTGAGCAGACTCCTGAAAGGTATCTCAGAAGGCCTGAGTTCGGAAATTAGTATTCTGACTTTTTCTATGTGTCCTAGATTTGGCAAAACTGTACTTTTTTATCTTTGAAACAAATACTCCTTATGTTTCTAAGTTTATTGTATCTCCTTCAAATGTACTGTTTTCTCTTCCTCTGTTGGGGATCAGAACTGTATCTACAGCTGTGACTACTAGCTATGCATCACAGATGATGTCTGCGGTGTGCAGAGAGCCAAGGAATCCTGACGACTTTCATTACAGACAAAAAAAAACAACACTTCCCAAAAGAACCTCTATAGAAAATGCGGGAAGATGGGGCCAAAAATACAGATCACAAGACCAGGGTTGCTCAAGACAGTGTGATTGCATTCTGAGTGGAAGATTAAGAGTTGGAGAACGAAGCACTAACTGGGTTATATTTAGGCATATATGTATGTACAGATATGTATACAATAACAAAGGAAAAAAGGCCTTGAATTTGAAGGAGGGTAGGGAGGGGTTATGGGACGGTTTAGAGGGAGAAAAGGGAAAGAGAAATGGTGTGGTTATATTATAATCTCAAAAATAGAAAAGGCAGGACAAAGTGCCCTGCAAGAAAAAGTTTGAGGCCTCTAGTGGTTCCACATGTGCAGTCCAGAAGACTCTGGAAGACTTGTCAGTAGGAAGGGGCCCTAGCAGAAGGCAGTGGAGATAAGCGAGTCCTCTAGGATAATTAGCACCTAGAGTATCAGGCTTAGTTCTCATTACAAACAAGAGTTTTAAACAAGAGGGAAGGAGCTAGAAAACACTGACAAAGCAGAGCTGGGTGAAGCAGTTCTTCCATTCACTAGCTGTGTGGCCTGAGAATCTTCCTCATTAGGTTTGATGTTTAATCCTCTAAGGTTTCAAACACCAAACACCAGTCAACGCAAACCCAGCTGTCAATCACTTTGGGGCCTAGCACCCTGCCTATGTGAATCCCTATATCCAGAACTCCAGCAGGCAGGCAGCATGCCCAGCACATTGCCCCAAGATTCTGCTCCTCATCCTCTCTACCAACATCCTGATTTCCAGAGAGATGCCTACCCATCACGGTGGACAGCAGGCTGGGGCCTAGGGCTGACATGAGGGAAAAAAGCACTGGGCAGCCTCTTTCCCTGCAGGAAGAACTCAAACTGTGAGAACTCGAAAGTGTGGTGGATATCGGATACCTAAACCCTCACGATTCCAAAGACATGACAAGTCTCTGGGAAAAGAAGTGACCGGCCCAAAGATAACCGTGGGGCTTGTATGACTGACTGGAGGAGTTGGTACTCAACAATCTCAACTAATCATTCAAGACAGGATTCCGAAGAAACTGGTGCTGTGGAATAATATTCTTGTATACTGCAAAGATTTGTTACTGGGATTGGTTTAATAAAAAGCTGAATGGCCAATGGCGAGGCAGGATCTGGGGGGCAGAGAGGATGCTGGGAAGAAGAAGTGTATAGAATCAAAAGTCAGAAGGAGAGGAAGCAGCATGGGCAGTAGAGTAAAGGTAAAAGTCACGAGACAAAAAGTAGATTGATACAAATGGGTTAAGTTATAATCAGCTAGTAACAAGCCTAAGTTATCGGCTGAGCTTTCATAATTAATAATAAATCTCCATGTCATGATTTGGGAGCTAGGAGGAGGAACAGAAACACCTGACTACAAACTTGCATCAAATGATCTGGCTTCCTCACATGATTGGGTGAAAGGGCTAAGACTCTCATTGGCTCCTTTTTTAATCTCAGTTTTCATACAACAAAACGCACAAATAAGAGAAAGTAAAATAGCAAGGGAATACCAAATACTACTACTGAATTGCACTAGAGGGAAATTAACCCCCCTTGATGGCTTCTCAGGCCCTCCAATTATCCCAATTATAACTGTAGGGAAGAGATAAGATACACACACAGATCCGCTGGAAGCTACCCCTCCTGCCTCATTCCCTTGCATCCAGAGCCGAGGCTGATTAGCCTGAGTGTCCTTACCATCCCAATGCAGAAGAGGACAAAGAGCAGCAGCCATGGTATGTCTGTGCAGCTACGGTCCTCCAAGGGCTTCCATTCTCGCTTGGAGCTCTAATTCAAAATACAAAGCAAGAGAACATGGTAAGTGCTGATTTTAGTTATAACTGGAAAGGTACAAACACGTCATTTTGACCCCATTCCCTTTTTTTTTTTTTTTTTTTTTTTTTGCTGGACAATGTCTACTGAAACTTTAAGATGAAACTCAAAGATCTGCCGTGTCTTTGTAAAGTCCACCCTAGATTCCCTGGCCAACACTGGGAGATATGGATAGTTTTTGTGGTACTCCACTGAAATATGTAGCATGCTGAACTGTTATTCTTTCTTTTCTATTTCTCTTTTGAGATAGTGCATAACATAGCCCAGGTTGGTCTTAAAGGCCTTATGTGGCCAAGGATGACCTTGGATACCTGATCCTCCTGTTTCTACCTCTTGAGTATTGAAATTACAGGTGCAAGCCACCACATCTGGCTTATGCAATGCTAGAGATCAAACCCAAGGCATTGTGCACACTGAGAAAGCACCCACCAAGGCACTGTGCATACTGGGCAAGCACCGACCAAGGCACTGTGCATACTGGGCAAGCACCCACCAAAGCATGGTGCATACTATACCAGGCAAGCATCTACCAATTGAGCTACATCCCCAGACCTGAACTGTTATTCTTTAGCAGCCTGTGTCTGTAGCAGACTGCGATCAGCCCAATCTCACTTCCCATCATTTGAGATGATGTCTAAATCTTTATATGTTCTTAATAAGGACTTTCTAAATGAATGAACATGCTCTTCAACATATATGAGCTTTCTCATTGTGTGTCCAGACAGTAAACAAACAAACACACACACTTATACACCTAAAATAAATAAATAAATCTTTTTTTTAAAAAAGCTGCCAAGAGATGGGAAGAAGAATCGGTTGGTAAAGTGCCTATGTGTGCACACGGAGACCTGAGTTTGATCCCAGCACCCACGTAGAAAAGCCAGGAGTCCTGGTGTACGCCTGTAATCCTAGTGCTGGGCAGACTGGGGCGGGAGGATCCGTGGCACTTGCTGCCACCAAGTCTTGGTGAACAGGTGAGCTCCAGATTCAGTGAGAGACTGTGTCAAGAAAACAAGATGGAGGGCCTAGTGAACCAAGGCACCTGCCCCCAAGTGTGATGAACTGAACTCAACCTCTAGGATCCACACGGGAGAAGAGAACTGACCCCTGTATGCATACACTATGGCACATGCACTTCCCCATACACATGCATAATAAAATAAATAACATATTTATGACTGTTTATATATAATGTGAAGAGTAGTCGAGGAAGACATTGGATGTTCATCTCTGGCCTTCCCGTTCACGTGCATGAATTCGTACTTGTACCCATGTACACACACAAACACCACACACATTATAATCCACAAATAAATAATAAACAAATGAATAAATAAATAGCTGCCTATCAACAATGAAGGCAAAGAATTTGCACTACAACCATTTCTTTCTCACTCCTAAAACTGCTAAAGACAAACGCCCCATTATGCCTCACACTGTTGAAATGTTACAAAGAAAATACTGTTAGCTTGTTCCCAGACACCCGCACAAGAAAACAAAAGAACACCAGTCAGTCATGGAAAAAAAAAAACCCTCACCCCAAGACTAACTAGCATTGGAACCCAGGAAGGAGCAGACAGTCTCCTTCAGAGGAGCCCAGCCCAGCCCAGCACTGTGGCATTAACAGATGAGGATTCTTCTCCCTGGCTCTGTCATTAGTTAGCTGACTTCAGAAAAATGCTTCCTCTCCTTGGGTGCAGGCAATGAGAGGGACTGGGTCTCCTAGGTTTCTTCCAGCTCTACAAGCCCATGACCAGGACCGTACTTTCATAGGCTGACAAGAAAAACAACTACAAAATAACAACATAGCCCTTGTGTCGTTCAAATGTCTGCACTGTGGTCTGTACTTTGGAAGGCAGCTGTCCACGAGGAGGAGAAAGAATGTTTCTTTGTATTAAATAATTAAATAATGCCCACTGCAGTAAAATTACTCACGGAGGAAGAATTTGGAGACGGCTGAAATTCATGATATTTACTCCATGGTAATTTCTAAAGCAGTGGTTCTGCTAGAAAACACTATTATTTGTACCAAATGCATAGGAGGGCCAGAAGCCTCACACTGGAGCAGTTTCTTTATCTGCAACCATTCAGACCAACACTCGGTTTGTTAATGCTTAGATTTCCTTCTATAACATAAAGTCAGAGGGATCTCCCTTTGACAAGACAAATACAAAGACCCAATATCACATCAGCTGTGAGCTACTGCTGTCCCAAACGAGAACAGCAAGCAGTAAGGAGGGGAGTTACAGAGAAAACACAGTGACAGTATCCAGGGAGAGAAGAAAAGCCAAAGGGCAGCGTGGCCGGCCACACCGTAACAAACGAGACTTCCGACAAAAGGATGCTGTGCTTCTCAGTAGCACCCGTCACTCAAAAGCAGTGGATGCTTGGTTATTTTTATTACACATCAATATTTGCTCTTTAGTTTAACCCCCTCCTGTCAAAAATCTCTCTTTACAATGTGACCTTTTCCATAAAAGGTGTAAGAATACCAAACTCCCTTTTTCCTTTAGTTATATTAAGATATTGATCTGGTGGCAGTATATTTCATTCTGGCTGCCATTTTTCATGCTATCAACGGCTGATTTCTTATTACCCAGGAATTCCTAAGCACATGGTCTCCTCTCTTCCATGTGTTCGCTGTTTAGGTACCATCCTTGCTCCAAAGATGAACAAACTCAGGCTCAGGCATTAAATAAGCAGCCCCAGCCAGGATTTAAACCCAAGTTCATGACTCCAAAGTCAACTCCAGGAAGACTGCTAAATCTTCTTATAAGCAGTCAGTATGGAGCAATTGCAATTCTTCACACGGCAAATACTCAGAAACCAGGCTGATAACGGAACATCCTTTAAGTGCAGGGGAGACATGTTATGAGCCGTGAAATTCCTCAAGTGAGCCAAGAAGCCCAATGGTTCAAAATTTTTAATGATTTTTTAACAGATGTAACCAAGTGACAACTGGATTTAATGCTATCTGTTTCTTCCAATTAACGTCCCATATAAACCCAGCCAAAGGAAAATGCGCTGCAGCAGCACTTTTAAAACGTGATTTGTATTCTTTCCCCAGATTCCACAGATTAATATAATAGACTGCCAGTAAGTGCTAGGTCTTCTCCTCTCACAAACACTACCTTTTAGGAAGCAACAGAACCAAGTGACCATAGAGAGCCACCCTCAGCAGAAACTGAGCTTGAGAGGAAGAGAACAGGTCTTAGCCAAGGTTCCCACTTCATCCATGAGTTCTTTACAATTCTCAAAACATTGCTGGCGGGACTGTATGCTCTCTGCTTTTCTATTTGTCAGAAAAGGAAACCAAGGCTCAGGGAAAAAGTTCTGCTGAGACGGGAGTTTTCAAACTCTAGCAGAGTGATAAACATGCAAAGAAAGAGTCTAGGAAATGCTGAGTATTTTTTTAAAAATCTAATACAGGCAGTCAGGCTTGCCAGTAATTAAATATAGTTACGGAAGTGGTCAGGAACCTCAAGGTACCCAAGACAAATAACAGAGAATTTAAACTCAGAAACCAGAATATTCTTCTCAGTGGAGGACAAAAATGACATGATTTAACATATGCATGAGAGGAACCAAAGAGGAAGATGTGATGGAACAGAGGAAATATCTGAAGACATAGCAACTGAAAAGTTTCCAGAAATAATAAAAAAAAGATATAAAATGTAAAAAGTATTAAAATAAAATAATAAAAGAGCCAAGGAATAAGAAATAGAGCATGTACATGCACACATAAACCTGCATGCAAGTACCAGAAGAAGAAAAAGTATGACTGCCTGAAATGAGTAAAAGGAAGATTTGAAATTCTCCATAAAAAAGTGCTTTTGAACGTTGAAAGAGATTAAATATGCATATATAAAAGTATCTACACTGCCAGGAAGTGGAAGCCCACATCTTTTATCTCCCCACAAGACAGGGCTCTTCTGTAGCTCTGGAGCCTATCCTGGAACTCACTCTGTAAACCAGGCTGGCCTTGAACTCTGCCTGACTCTGCCTCCCAAGTGCTGGGATTAAAGGCGTGAACTCCCATTGCTAAGTAAATAAGTCTGCTGCAGGCCTGACTCCCAGTATCTATGTCGTTGATGCCATGCCTTCTCACCCCCTCCCCCAAAGAAGCCATTAGGACCCAGCTATACACACTGATGGTTCTTTTGTATATTTGTCCAAAGCTAATATAATGTAATATAATTTTGCATATTTGTCCAAGGCTAATGTAAGATAAAATTACAATTTGTAGTACTGGTTTAAGTATCCTGGCCCAAAACACTCAATCAGAAATGTTTCAAATCCAAAACTTCTTTTTGGGGGGGTGGGGGGAGGAAGACAGGATTTATCTGTGTAGCCCTTGCTGTCCTGGAACTCACTCTGAAGATGAGACTGGCCTCAAACTCTGAGATCTTCCTGTCTCTGCCTCCTGAATGCTAGGGTTAAAGGTGTACATCACCACTGCCCAGCTTCAACTCCAAAACTTTTGAACACTGACATGATTTGTGAAAATTAATACCATGAAAGCTAGTCTTATATACACAATTACTAAAAATATGTAAAGTTATCCTGAGGCGATGTATGTGTTGCACATATAACATAAATGAATTCTGTATTTAGACTGGGGTACTGTCCACAGAGCACAGTGCAAATATTCCATGTTTTCTTAAGTTCCGCATGCTTCCAGGCCCAAGCATCGCAGACAAGGGATACTCAACTAGAACTACTACTAGACCATTAAAAAGTCCTACACATGAGAGCCACCAAGATGGCTCGGCAGGCAGAAGCACTTGCTGTGCACGCCTTATGACGGACACCCAACCCTTCAACCCATGGTAAGAGGAGAACCAGTGCTCGAAAGTTGCCATGGGATATGCATATAAACACGCACAGAGAGAAATAATGCATAAAATTTAAGAATGTGTATGGTCTTCTAAGCCAGACCATAGATAACACTCAAA